TTATTTGACACCCAGAATACTAGCACCTTTAACTTGGTTGGATTTTATTAACATCAACAGAATCAGAGCCTGATATACATGGATAACTTTAGGATGTGATTAACAGGAAAATCTCAACACCAGAACTACTTGTGACATCGTTGGTGTCTCAGCAGATGGGATAAATGAGCGATTTTCTTCTCACACTTGGAGCAGGCATATCGTCTCTCCCCAGTGTGAACTCGCTGGTGTGACTGAAGATGAGATGATTGAGTGAACTTCTTCTGACACATGGAGCAGGTGAATGGCTTCTCTCCAGTATGACTGCATTGATGTAGAGTGAGTTCAGATGAATGCTTGAACCCAGTCTCAGTGAGAGCACTTGAATGGTCTCTCATCTGTATGAGCACTTTGATGGCGTGTCAGTTCCCTGGAACTTTTACAGCACTTCCCAGTGTTTGCACATTTAAAAGGTCTGACATTAGTATGAACCTGCTTGTGCCTCAGCAGGTTGGACAAATCAGTAAAGCCCTTCTCATAAACAGAACAAGTGAATTGCCTCTCCCCAATCTGAACTCGCTGGTGTTGCAGCAAGCACGCTGACCGCGTGAAGCCCTTCTCACACACAGAGCACAGGAACAGCCTCCCCTGTGTGACGGTGCTGATTAGTTTCCAGCTCACAGGAGAAGTTAAATGCCCTCCCACAGTTCCCACATTTACACAGCTTCTCCCTGCCATGACTGTGCTTATGTTTAGACAGGCCAGAAGATTGGCTGAAGCCTCAACCACACAGAACAGGTGTACAGTTTCTCCCCACTCAGAGGTGTTTTCTACTTCCATGGTCAAAATCCAATGATGTTCTGGTTACAATAAATTGAGTAATTTGTCAAATCTTGATGAGATGTTTGGTTCAAGTTTCCTGACTGCAAATCCTCACCCTCGAATACACTGTGAAAGTGATTTTAAAAAGGTGTGAGAACCGACAAAAACATAAAGGTAGTATGTGAAATTGAGCTGAATGAAACTGGTGATTTGTGGGGAATAATCATTCCTGCACCTACGGGTCACGCCATGTACAGTTCTCCCAGTTAGCTCACGTGTCTTTCCATGTCTAGTATCCAGCAGCAATTACTCATCCAAATCTCATATTAAACACTCCAGTTGGTTAAACTGAATTATAACCAGAAAACTTGCTGATGAAAAAAA